ATATGAGAGCCTTCTAGTAGTGTATATGAGAGCTTTCTAATAGTGTATATGAGAGCTTTCTAATAGTGTATATGAGAGCTTTTTAATAGTGTATATGGAAGGTTTCTAGTAGGGTGTATGAAAGGTAAAGCTTTTCACCAGTTTATATGAACAGTTCTCACTACTTTGTATGAGAGCTTTTAAGTAGATTATATAAGAGGTAAATGTTTTCACTAGTTTATGTGAGAGCTTTTTACTAGTGTTTGTGTGAGGTTTTCAGTATATTATATGGAAGAGTGTAATTTAATATGTGTATATGCAAGTTAATTCTGATTTATGTCCCTGGGGGCACCTCATAAAGGAGTGCTGTTGCACAATGTTACTAATTTCACTCTTCATCTATGTGTATTTTCATATGGGATGCTTTAGTGCTGTTATCTTTAGCACAGCATAGCTGGTTTAATGGTGGCTATAGCAGTCAAACATTACATGCTGTTACAATCATATATAACATTTTCTGAAAAGTGCTTTAAATCAGTCATACCTGTGCACCTGGAGAATAAATAACCAATATACAGCTGTGGTTATTTTTACAGTAATGGATATTTGAAAATAGCAGCAACATGAGAGATGTGCAAAATGACAGCAGCATATTATTTAACTGACTAAGGTTTATATCATTACACTTGCTTTTATTTGTTCATGCTCCCATGCACCTTTATTTCACTCTGGATTCTAATGAGTCTTTGTTCATCGTTGTGTACCATAAAAATGAAAAAAAGTATAGAAAGAGTTTTGAAAACAGCGTTTAAAGCCGCCGAAGGCTAGACCTGTTTGAATTTACAGCCAGAACTCTTCTGGTCTCCTTATTTTCCCGAACTTCAAAGGATCCAATCCAGGTAGATCGCTTCCTTGAAGATGCAGCCCATAAATTCGAACAAAGCCATTGACTCAAAGGCAATCCCTCATACTAAGCAATCTTGTGTCAACAATGGAGAGGAAAACACTTTGGTCTCTATTTCTTGATTGGCACTCTGTTAGCCCATCTATCTGTGGGTAAAAACCAGAGGAAAACCTGAACGAAACACAAAAGGAGAGAACAAAACCTTGTGCAAAAACATTAGATGAATTGCAGACCCCTGTCAGAGACTATATCTGTAGGTAACCCATGTAATGTTCTAAAATATATTTGTGGTACTACACCTGAAGGTAACTGTGGTACCTGGGGCTCGGACTTTAAAACCAGGTTAGTGACTCACACACTCGTAATCGTCCTCTGTCAGATTTACTTGGCCACTAACTTGAGTTTTTCTGTCTGCAGAGATTTTTGCCTTTTTTGTCCTAGCTGCTGAGTCACAGATTCAACGAATTCACAATAAACATTGTAAATCACATCAGTCTGTCTGCCTGAAATTCTGTGTCCAAAATTTGGAGTTTTGACAGTTATTGGATATGTATAAAGAATTAAATTCTCCATTACGTTGTATGACGGCTAACATTACATAAAAGGAGTTATCATAGCACATCCTAGTAACCTGATAACTCCTGCACACCGACAAAGTAACCTCACAGGCCAAAATCTCACCAATAATTTAGGCAGTTGGGAACTTCTTACAAAGTGGTAGATGAAACATCTTTGAGAATTGGTCTACAATGGTGGCAGTGACTGTGTAATCATTAGAGGGGGGCAAACATGTGATGAAGTCTGATTGGTGGGTGCAAAGAACAAAGACGTGATGCAACAGGGAGAGTAGGGGTGTAAACAATAATCGTTTTGTATCATGATCATCTGGTCTGGGGAGAAGCTAAGAAAAGAGATGGAGCTGAAGTGAAACTCACACTTTCCCGCTTTGACAAACCAGTGATTCTTTAACAACTGGAGAACAACTAAAATGACATTTTGCCTGGGATTTTTGACACCTTTAGAGTAAATAAGGATTTCATCAAGATAGACAAACACCTACAGTTGTGGTCAAAAGTGTACCTACACTTGTAAAAAATCATAATGTTATGGCTGTCTTGAGTCTTCAATAAGTTCTACAACTCTTATTTTTCTGTGATAGAGTGATCGGAACACATACATGTTTGTCACAAAAAACAGTCATAAAATTTGGTTCTTTCATAAATTTATTATGGGTCTGCTGAAAATGTCACCAAATCTGCTGGGTCAAAAATATACATACAGCAACATTAGTATTTGGTTACATGTCCCTTGGCCATTTTCACGGCAACTAGGCGCTTTTGGTAGCCATCCACAAGGTCCTGGCAAGCTTCAGGTCGAATGTTTGACCACTCTTCTTGACAGAATTGGTGCAGTTCAGCTAAATGTGATGGTTTTCTTGCATGAACCTGTTTCTTTAGCACTGTCCACATGTTCTCAATGGGGTTTAAGTCAGGACTTTGGGAAGGCCATTCTAAAACCTTAATTCTAGCCTGGTTTAGCCATTCCTTTACCACTTTTGATGTGTGTTTTGGGTCATTGTCTTGTTGGAACACCCAACTGCGCCCAAGACCCAACCTTCGGGCTGATGGTTTTAAGTTTTCCTGCAGAATTTGGAGGTAA